CCATTTTTACATGCGGGGGTGTTTGGTTTTTTTTTTTTTTTTTTTTTTTTTCTTTTTTCTCCCCCCACCTGTCTCTCAGAAACCCATTTAGTCAAGCCCCACTTGAGCTAGGAGACAGCGAACCACGACCAGAGAAAGTGGTGAGAAGGGGGTGAGGTGCAAGACGCCTCCCAGATGAAGCCACCAGTGCTCTGGAACGACTTTAGAATGAGGAGCAGCTATTTTATCCCCTTTCAGCCAACCTGCCTGGCAATGCAGCCCTGGAGTAACAGACACTGAACTCCCAAACCCAGCCACATCCCTGGGCACGCCAGCACCCTTCCTCCTCCGCTCTCCATGAAGCCTGCCCAGGCCCACGATGGTGTGGCTCCCCACAAGGAAACGCGGGGGCCTGCTCGACTTCTGTGGTTGAGATAATGTACGTGCTCTGCTATTTAGCTTCCGCCTCCTGGCACAGGGTCAGGGTGCCGCTGGCGGGTTGTGGCTCACCGGCAAGTCAGGCCGTGGGGAAAGGGCCGTATCTGCCCAGCCACGACACCAGGGGCCAGCTCTGCCCAGATGTGCCCTCAGAGGTAGGAATTAAAAAAAAAAAAAAAAAAAAAAAAGCGCCAAAAAAAAAAAAAAAAAAAAAGCCAAGTTGACGATGAACTTTGTCTCTCTGTGTCAGAGATGGAAACCAAGTCTGGTTTAGGCTCTGTCGAGGTCACGTTTAGAATATGACTAAGCACCAAAGCGAAGCACCCAAGTCCAACTAAGACTTGTAAACACATATGCAACTATCCTACATGCATACCAAGATATGTCAACAGGGCATCTAGTTATATCTGCCCATGGCAGGGGGGTTGGAACTCGATGATCTTTAAGGTCCCTTTCAGCCCAAAACATTCTATGATTCTATGATCTACTGTATCTAGTTATATTTATTTCCTATAACTAGATTATTAACGTGAAAATGTACTTTGAATTGGTTCTTATTAGCTACCGTATAATAACATGCTGCCTCTTCTAGCCTCTGCATTTCAAGTGATTCACAGACTGCAAAAATAGAGTACTGTTCCCAAAAAGACATTAAAATGAAAGTCTCCCTGGTCTTTTTGCTGCTGGGTAGTAATTATCTATTTAATTACATGGCTCCACTCTTTGCACTCTCTATTGTAGGGAAAAGATGCTTTTCCAGATGAAACAATCCTCAAACAGCTCCAAAACCAGGGCCACTGATTACTGTTTCTACAGCTCCAGAATGAAAGGCACTGCAGTCTGAAAGTAAGTGGTAGAAGGTCTTGCTCTATAACAAAGAAATTACAAGAGTTTAAACAAGAGCCATATTTTCTTTCTTTATGGCCTTTTCTTTCTAATTTTCTGCCACAAAAAAAACACCCTGGAAGGACCATTTTTGTGGGGGGCTGTTTCCTGTTGACCTAAATGAGAGTTTGTGCATTTGTCCAAGGGCCATAACAGAAGAGATGTTGCTTTCTGTTCTGTAATTTCACCGTAGGCATCATCCAGGTCACAACCACTGTTGCTATACTGAAAAGATATATCCGGTGTCTGTTATTGTTTTTTCATTATGAATTCCAGGAATAAATGAACTTGTTGTATGTTTTTAATTATATTAAATCTCCACTGCAAAGATATAGAGATTTTAAATGAGATTAAGTCTGCAAGATTCTGAGTTCCTGTAGATGACTCTAATGGGCGCATCTCATCTTTGAAAATGAGATGTTTGACATACTTGCAAATATTGGACTGATACAGGCTGATAAACAAAATGATTTTGTGAATTCTTCTCCTACGCTTATTAAAAACATAATTGTTCACATTTGAAAGAATGATCTTACGCTTAAGACGATTAAGGCAGGGTTATATCTCATTCTCTGGTCAGGGTATTCGTCTAGCTATCATAATCCCTGTATGGATTAACCATGCCGACAACTGTCCTTGAACAACTTGCTTAAGCAAGCTAAAGCAAATTTTCCAAAACTCAGGAACTGAGAAAGTTGAAATTAACAGCTGTGATAAGTCATAAGGAAAATAATTTCAACTAAGTAAGCAGATGCTGTAATGCTACTGGCACAAAAGTAGCAGTGGACCCAATAAAGCTAATCTTGAGAAAACGAGTTGCTAGCCACAAGACGCCTGGCTGCAAATACTGGCAGGAGTACTTCTCATAGCAACGGTTTCAGTAACGTGACCCTTCTGTTACCCGGTTTCATGCTGTGTCATTTATCTGAATTAAAAGAAAGGAAGTGGTTCTATCCTCAGCTCAAAAAGGACTGATCTATCCCCTGACAAGCAAGAAATGCTTTGTTGACTTTATTCTTCAATTCTTGAGGACACAAGTCCCATTACAGGTACAGGTGGCTTGATAACAAAACATAAAACTGTCTTTGCACATATTTTCTCACAAATGTATGGTCTCCAGAACAGTACTCTAACATACAAGAACCTACTTCCTGCTGATCTTGATGTTAGACTAGGTATTTTGAGATGGTATCAGAGTTGTAAGTGAAGTTATCTTTTCAACAGATCCAAGTCTGACATGCCAAACATCTACTTACGCTGCTAGCCAATCTCTCCCATACAAATAACCCTCCAACAGTAAAGAAGTAATGTCATCTCCTGAAAAACAGGTTTCATGGATTATTTCTGAAGTACAGGCTAAGAAAGCAAGGATCTAACACCTTCCGTGGCTTAATCTGCACTGCAGAGCTGCTTCCTTGTCACACCGGTTCTGGCAGATTCTGTAAACCAGAAGAGACTACAGCAAAACCTGTAATCTAAAGGAAATTCATCCACAAATTGTATGCCATCATGTGAACTGAAGCATCTTGAGCCAACTCAGGGATCTAATTCTGCCCTCAAAGCACTAACCTTACATTGAGGGTGACATGAAATAAGTAGAATACTTTTATACCAAAGATGCACAAAGTAGAAGATGGTGAGAGCCACCATGCTAATGATTCAGGAGCCAGAGCCAACCAGTCCCTGGCCCATACCACTGGCTCTGGAGGGCTGCAGCAGGCAGCAAATTCATTTTTTGCTTGCCTCCCCATGTGCATTTAGAATAAGATTAATTTAGGTCTCAGCTAAGAAAACCAGCTTCATAAATGTTTGAACACCTATCATTACACCTCCTGTCTAGGTACGGCTGCCACAGATGCATTTGGCCACCTCAGTGGAGGTAAGGAGGGGAGAAGCCAGATTCATATTTCAAGCAAACAAGTTAAAATCCCTTATTTTTGTTGTAACAAAACCATTTTATGAATTGAAAACATCTGCTTAAGAGCACCACCAAGAGGGAAAGAGGTGGCAGCCCTGCTCATTCCCTCCTCCTCGCAGGTCTCTGAGGGCAGGGGCAGGGCAGAAGACCACTCTCCTCCTCCAGACAACCACACACACAGAACACAAAAGATGAAAACCTGCCTATGGGACAGGCTCTCCCCACAGCTCACTGGCGAGTACAGAAAGCCAAATACTTCTCCAATGTCAGTTTACTAACAGTCATTTAATCTCTGTAAAATCCATGGGTTTAAGCGTTTCTCCTTGAATGTAGCAAATCTGTAGAACCTATTCATCTTTCCAGGAGAAGCACAACTGATACTCGGGCAGTGAAAAGATAAGCTCACTGGGCTGTATAACTTCAGCTGAACAATAGGCTGGCTAAAGGAAGGGTTTATCGTAAGGTATTGCTTGTCAAGCTCCCAGCCTTGAGGGAGGCTGCCTAGCCTGAAGCACTGGAGAACTGGGTGTGTGACTGCAGGCTCTTCTTATCCCTGGGGTGGTATTTTTTCTCATTGCAGTCATGAAGCCTCTGAGACACTGAGAGAACTGCCTTTGGTCCATGAAAGAATTGCTAAAGTAGCGAGAAGGAGATAGACTGCCTTAACACGAGTATTAACTTTGCTCTCTGCTGGTAACAAAGGAGAGAAGTTTTTGTTACGGAAAGAAATTCAAACAGAGGGAAAAAACTGAACAGCAAACAAAAGCAACACCGGTCAGTTCATTTTGGCACGCATCAGGCTGAAATTCTGCTGCCAATGTCAATGCATTACACGCTGTGTAGCTATAAATTTTAGTTGTGTTTGAATAAGCCCCAGCATATAGAAATGCTTTGGTTCTGCCTAACGCAGCCCGTCTGTAGACAGGATGAAATCACTGTATTTCTTCAGCTAAATGGCCCAAAAATCAAAATCTTTAGTTGCTCTCAGAGCACACGTACCTGCAATCCCTTGTAGCAGCCCGCAGACATTAAAAATGCTTTTCTTCATAATACTCTGCACACACATAGTAAAGACAGACACAAATGCCACGGCACAGAGAATCATGATTCCCACGGCTAGGAAAATAGCGGTTGCCTGCCAGAACCCACTGGCAATCTCGTTGAAGTTTTCGGCGTAAGGACCACAAAGCGTGTCTCGTCTAGAAAGCTGCATGTGGGGGATTCTGGTGCAGCGCCCGTAGATGCCCAGCGTTGGATGGTAAGGCTCCTGCGACCCCCCCGTTCTGTTGTCCACATCCTCAGAGCTTGAAGTCTTTGCTTTGCCAATCAGCCAGTCTGCGCTCATAAAAGCAATGAGCTCTGCGAAGGCCACCACAATGCTCAGGAGAGTCCATAGCATTGACCGACACGTTACAATGACATGACACATATTGGTGTCCAGTGCTTGTGATCAGTGCAGCTGACGGTCTCAAAATCCAGGCACGAGGTGGAAAAAATTAAATTAGGAAATAAAAAAAAAAAGGACCCAAGGAAAAATCACTGTGGCTGCTTTGCCTGCTGTTTCAGCTCTCTCACGAAGGCCAAGATGAAATTTCTCAGGAGAAAAAGTGAACGGCCCCAAGTTTTGCAAGCAGTGCAGTCATTTGTTCTCTCCCTTTAGTTCCTCCTTTTTTCTTTCTGGGATGCTGAGCTCTGAAGTACGCTTTTCTTTCTTAATATTCATACTGGCACATGACGCTGCAGGCTGGCGGGGGAGGCCGCAAGGACTGCCCACTGTTTGACATCACACACCTACAAGAAAAAAAAGAGACAACACATCAGCAGTGGAAAAAAAGTCTTCGTTTCCACCCCCACAACGAGCCAAGATCTCGCGCAGATCCACATTAACATGCAAAAGCTCTAACAAGGACCTGTCAAACAGAGCCTGCTGGAAACCTCATGGGCTTGTCCCAGGAGAGCGATTAATCTCTCCCGCTGCCCGGCCGAACTCATGGTATCTGCTCTGCGCCATCCCATTCCGGGTGTTTGTCGAGCACTTTGCAAGCAAAGGTCTTAGTAACACTCAGCTGTCCCACCCACTCTTACCCCCACGCCCCCAATCATCTTCTCTGGTCGAAATTACCAAGGTTGCTGGCAGTGACCCAGCAAAATGTTCGTACACGTTTAAGCAGTTTCACAGACGTGCGGCTCCTCCTGCCTTCGGTTTGGGGAGGCAGCACGGGGCGCCTTGGGGAAGGAAGCTAGGCACAGCTCCACATGCCATGGGCACCTGGGTCCAAGGAGCAATGAAGGAACCTTGTTCCAATGCTCTGGGCTTCTGCTGACTGCAGCTGAGCCAAGCCTGGCCTCAAGAGATGACGGATCAGGATTGCAGGTGGGGGAGAGCCCGCCCTGGGATGAGGCGACACAAGCTCATCCCCTTTGAAGCCTGGGCTTTGTGGGAGTGGTGTTTCCCACGTTCTGTACCCAGCTTTGCACCCCTGATTCAGGAAAAAAAAATATTAATCTGCTTGCAGGTATGTCCCACGCCTCACCAGGAACCGATGCCAGCACTGGCAGCCTCTGGTGACTTGTGCCACTGCAAACAGGAATCTGCGGAAAAAACGCCCCAGTGGCTGCCACGTGGCCAAGAGCCCCGGGGACAGGGGCTGCCAGTCAGCCTTGAGCTTCTTGACTCCTCTCAGTTCCCCCCTTCCACGGTCCCCTGCAAGCTGAGGCTGCAGCGAAACGTTCCCCAGGGCTTTCAACGGTAGCTGATGACATTCCCAGAGTTACACTTCTCTTAATACAAGAGGCAACCGGAGATGGCTATACTTCCAGCTCGCATCCAGACACTGGCTTCAAAATAACAAATGGGTCATCACACACGCCTCTGTGCTCCAACAGAAACTGTGTCGTCCGAAAGCAAGGGCAGGGGGAAGCAGGAAGTGCCCTCACGTTACCCCCTCCCTGATGAGAATGTAGCACTTCCAAGTTTTCCTCACAAAAAACAACACAGTGACATTGAACTGGAGGCAACAGAGTGGAGAACCAGATCTGCAGCTTACTGCTGCGCTCCTGCCAAACACAAAGGGGTTGGGAGATGCCAGAAAAACAGACATCCCCAGTCTTGGGTTTTTTGTTTTGTTTTTTTTTAGCTTTGTCAGGGGTTTGGTATTCAATTTTTTAGGAGTTTTGAGCCTGGTGGTTGAATGCTAGTCCTGCTGAACGCAAACCAAAACACATACCCACAACTTCAACACATGCACAATTTCATCCAGCAATTTCTACTCCCTCCTATAGTAGTTGTAGTGAATCATCCGCAAGATTTTATCCACCTTTCTCCTCCTTGTCTAGATCTGCAGACCCCTCTGGTACTGGCAGATACACGGACTTAAGCTGCTGTGCCAACAATTGAATTTTGTCTCGCTTAGTTTAACGTTACAGCATTGCCTTAAAAAAAGGCTTTTACCTGTACTGAGATAACAGTCCAGCTCATTTTCCGTTTTTTGGGAAAAGCATAAACATTTCAAGTAACCTGACATACTCATAACTCGAATACACCCTTTGTAATAACTGAGAGCAAAAGTGTCAACCTGCCAAAGAAAAGTTCATTTTCTCAGTATTTCCACTCTAAATAATAACTGGAATGTAGGAAATGTCCACTACAAACCTACAGTCTTCTGATGTCATCTCCACGATTAAAGGCAATTTCATGAAAAATGTCTTTATTTCTTACGAGAAGTTCCAGCCGTGTGAAATCCTCATCTTTCTTATTCCAGGATTTTAATTGAGGTGCAAGGGATGTAAAAGTTGAATACTCATCATAGCTGCTATTGCTTACCCTGTGCCTGCTGAGCATAAAATCAGACAAAAATTTGAGCAATCTGGTCTACTGGTCTACTGGGAGGTGTCCCTGCCCATGGCAGGGGGGCTGGAACTAGATGATCTTTAAGGTCCCTTCCAACCCAAACCATTCTATGATTCTATAGTACTGTTCATTGAACACAGATGAGAACAAAGTTCACATTTACTTAAGTAGGTTGAAATTCGACTAACAGCCATAAAACTATGGCACTGATAACAAACGTGGGATACTGTATTCGAGTTGGAAGACCAAACCATGGGACTCCTTTCCATTTGAAATGCAATGCAAGAATAAATTGCAGTGCCATTTTAAAACTTAGTATTTCCATAAGTCACTGCATAAGCAAAATAGCCTGTCTAAAGATGATATTGACATCATGTCAAATCTCAGGATTTCACTGGGACATACATTTCCCCGTTTCGCAACACACGGAAACTTCACAGCACCTAAAAGTTAGTAAATGTCATCAATAACTACAGTTCAAGGGAATATATTTTACTTTCCAATGAAACCTTCACAATTCTGCTTTTCCCAGGTAATGAGTATTTTATTCTGGTACAAAATGTATCTCCAGAGCAATGTATCATTATTCAGGGGAGAACTTCTGCATAAATTTATTCTTGCACTAACGATGCCCTCAAATGGGAGTGCTACTCACCTACAGCTCCTTTTTGTGAACAGATGGACAGAAACATACAAAGTATGATGGCGGGACCAGACAAGGGGCAAGGCCCACTCACCTACAACTCCTGTTCATGAGCAGATGGAGAGAAACGTATAAAGTAGGATGGCGCATAGTCCTGAGGAGGGACAGGGGCATTTCTTCTTTGTGGGACTTTGAAAGGAAAGATTGCAGCTAAAGTACTAGAGATAAGTTACAGTTCCGTCACATTTGCATAGTTAACCTTTTCCTTCCAACACACCCCACCTCAAGTTTCCAGATGAACCTAACCAATTCTCAGAAGGCTCCAACAAGATGTTTGTGCCATACGGCAAAGCCTTTCCAGCTACAGAGTGTGCTAACCAATGGCACTTCATGAAGATTCCCTCCAGGACTCTGCTCGCTCCTCTTCTTCCATTTTTGCCTAACAGAAACTCAAGCTAGGCCCTTGTGAGTTTGAAAACTGGCTGGTTTATTCCTCCTTGCAGTTTCCCATCCCCTGACAAATTTTTTCCATGACAGAACTGTGTGTTCTTCACAGCACACCACTCAGTATCCACTTCTGACTGACTGTCAAAATATTTGCTTTGACAGCCCAAATTGAAAATATACAACAGTTCTTTAACCCCTTTGGTATTAACTCATTCAAAATAATTCTTGCTGAGGAAGCAGACGACAAAAGGTAGGCTTGTCCCTTGCTCGTTTGGGCCTCCCCCCACTTTTACTATTGCGTGCATTTGTACAGATGTGGAAGGAGGTTGTCCATGCTAGGGAAGCGGGTGCCCCAGAAGGGAAACAGCCCCGCATGGCAAGCACCATCCCACCCCACCATACAGCCCACCATTTCTTGGCTGGACAGTACAGTTCTTGGGTGGGTCAAAATTACACCTCCAGCCTCATTTACACTGCTCCCTACACCATGCTCATGGTCAGGCTCTCCATTAAGTGTAGTCTAATGCAGTGAAAAGATGTCAGTGAGAGCATCAGATCCTCACAGCATCCAGAGAGAAAAAAAACCCCAGAGTTCTTGCATGAAAAAGTCTTTTGGCTGTTCTAATTTACGAAACAAACCATCTTAAAATATCACTAAAACTTTCATCCTCTTTAGATGCAATTTTGACAGCCAGATACTCTGCCTCAAGTTATACTTTCACATCTCTAGCTCAGACTATTCAGCCGTTGACTTTTACTACACAACACTGCTATATGCTAAGTAAATAAATAACATCTATTTTTCTGAACTAGATAAAGAAACACACTTGCCTCCATTACGCTTACACTGCCAAAACCAGAAAGTCAGAAGTTGATCCAAATTGTAATATTTGAATTAAGGTTTTGATTTTAGAGATGTTGAGCTGCAGGGTTTTGCTTTGGCATACCAGGCAGATAGGAAGGAACAGCTGCAAAGTTCAAATCTGAGTCAATCACATACCATGGCTGTTTATTTTACAAAGGTGTCCTACAAGCAGCATACAAGAGACCCACAAGTACCTTCCAGAACACTGTTATGGCCAGTCCTTCACGCTCTCCTTATGGTTTGACTGAAGACTTAGGGGGGCTTAGACTAAACCCTACAATTCAGCTTTCACCCTTCCCAGCCTGGTTCCGTCAGCTCAAGAGTGAGAATAAATCATCTTTAGATAAGTGGCTTTTGGCTTGGCTTAAACAAACAGCTGAATGGAAGGCCACACAGACTGCTGAAACAGTCCCAATTTATAAAACAAATCCAGGCACAATCAGACATTTTCTTCTAAAGCTTGCTATAGTCCAAAGCACAACTACGTGGAGGAGTTTCTAAACCCTATTTACAATACACAGGTTTGAGCATCTCATAATCCAAAACGTGCAAATCTCAGAACCTTGGGTTCTACTTTCTCTGAAACATTGTTAGCAGTTACAAACACTGTGAAAATGCTTTGAACTGTGAGTGGAAGTGGCTCTTATTTATGTTGATGTTTGCAGACTCATTATTTAAAACAAACAGAAAAAGGCTCACACACTAAGACTCAATTACTTCAAACTGACCCCCACCCAGGTTGACATGAGCTCCCACTTTGTGCAGCTTCCATCCTTAGGTGTTGCTGGACAAGCAAGCTTGTCAGCACTTGAGCTCACCCTGCCTGGCAGAGCGAGGCAGCCACCAAACCATGAAGGCAGTAGGGACAACATTTAGAAAACATGGGATGAGCATTAGAGATTATTCAATTTCTGGGTGAATGATAAATGTAAGCAAATAAACTTTTCCTCCCACTTGGTCTCCTCACAGGAGGTGCATTCTTCCAG